CGCTCACCCCAACCTGTTGACCTCTACCTGCTCCCTACTCTCACCACTGACTTCACAGAAATGATGATGAAGATGGTCTTCTTCATCTTCATCATCTTTGTTCTCACCACTTCCATGACATGAGCGCTCCACTGTGACAGGAGCTGCATCCCCTGAAGAGCCAGGTCAAACAACTTCCTGTACTCCGAGTCCGTCTTCTGAGCTTCCTGTCGCCCTGAACCGGTCACCACCTAAACACACACACACAGACAAACAACATCAGGACCATGGTCATCAGGTGGACCTCCACCCCTGGACCTTCACACCCACCTCACTGTTGCTGTAGCGAGCTAGCTCTGAGATGAAGCGCATGTGGTCGTCACGGATCTGGATCATCTGCTCACAGATGTTGTACTGGGGACTGCTGGAGATGGAGGTGCAGGTCCACCTGGAGAACACAGAAGATCAGAGCCAGTGGTGCTGAAGTCTGACCCCCACAGGTCTGTGCTGAAGCTCTCACCTGGACTTGTTCTCTTCAAAGTGAGCGCTGGTCTTGATGTAGCGGGACAACTCGATCTGCATGTCTCCGAACAGAGGAACCACCTGCAGCTGCTGTTAACGACACACGCTCGGGTTTGAGAACACACTCCACAGATGGTTCTACTGGACCAGTCATCACGACCGACCCGTGGTCCACTGTGAGGAGCTGGACCACAGACCGACCCGTGGTCCACTGCGAACTGGCGTACCTTGAAGAACTTGTCGATCTTGGTCAGGTTGATCCTCTTCTTGGCGTCCAGTTTGTAGATGTTGCTGCTGTTTCCATCCATCAGGTACAGACCGAAGCCCATCACCTGGACATGGAGAAGGAGTGGAGGTTCTGTTTACCACAGACCAACTGGAGGCTGGAGAGAGCAGAAGATCTGGACCCACCTTCAGCAACATGTGCTTCTCACTGGGCGTCAGATACATCTTGTTCTCGTAGTAATCCACGCACAGGTTCACGATGTCGGCCAGAAGTTCCTCATAACCATTGATGACCTCCAGCTGCTGCTGCAGAGACTGGAGCAGGAACCAGGAGAGAAGTACCAGGTACAGTCAGCAGAGAGGTACCAGGTACAGTCAGCAGAGAAGTACCATGTACAGTCAGGAGAGAAGTACCATGTACAGTCAGCAGAGAAGTACCAGGTACAGCCAGCAGAGAAGTACCAGGTACAGTCAGGAGAGAGGTACCATGTACAGTCAGCAGAGAAGTACCAGGTACAATCAGCAGAGAAGTACCAGGTACAGTCAGGAGATGAGGTACTAGGTACAGTCAGGAGAGAAGTACCAGGTACACTCAGGAGATGAGGTACCAGGTACAGTCAGCAGAGAAGTACCAGGTACCGTCAGGAGGGAAGGACCAGGCACAGGCAGGAGAGGAGGTACCAGGTACAGTCAGGAGAGAGGTACCATGTACAGTCAGCAGAGAAGTACCAGGTACAGCCAGCAGAGAAGTACCAGGTACAGTCAGCAGAGAAGTACCAGGTACAATCAGCAGAGAAGTACCAGGTACAGTCAGGAGAGAGGTACCATGTACAGTCAGCAGAGAAGTACCATGTACAGTCAGGAGAGAAGTACCATGTACAGTCAGCAGAGAAGTACCAGGTACAATCAGCAGAGAAGTACCAGGTACAGTCAGCAGAGAAGTACCAGGTACAGCCAGCAGAGAAGTACCAGGTACAGTCAGCAGAGAAGTACCGGGTACAGTCAGGAGAGAAGTACCAGGTACAGTCAGCAGAGAAGTACCAGGTACAGCCAGCAGAGAAGTACCAGGTACAGTCAGCAGAGAGGGACCAGGTACAGTCAGCAGAGAGGTACCATGTACAGTCAGGAGAGAAGTACCAGGCATGGACATTACTTGTACTCAGTGTTAGACAAACTAAAATCAGTGATTTTCTCTATGGACTTCTGAATGTGTGGACTGACCTGAGTGATCTTGTTGTGATTGGCCAAAAACATGGACAGATTCTGAGACTCTTGGATAGAAGAAGGTTCCGCCATCTTCCTGAGGAACTGAGCAGCTCTACACACACACACACACACACACTGTATTATCACAGTACATAGTAATTGCTCGGCTAACTCTTAGCTATCGTTGGCTAAGTGTTGGAAGCAGCTCTACTCAGCCCTGGTCCAGCTACACCTGGTCCAGTTACACCTGGTTCTAACGGTTCTTGGTTGTCAAAGTGAGGAGGAACCTTTTGTACGCCGAGTGGTCGTTCTTCACGCTGCACTTCATGTTCTTCAGCTCGTCCAGGACGGCGAACATGTTGATGAACTTGCCCAGCGTCATCAGGTACGCCTCCGACACAAAGTCCTTCCTGCGCTCGGTGTGACACAGGCGGCGGACTTCGCCGCAGAAGCGGTCGATGGCCGTTCTCTGTGGGAGACGTGAAGCCGAGGTCAGGTGGAACAAAAGAAAGATGGCCGCCGTCGCCTCTGCGGGGCAGCCAATGAGAGGAGCTGCTGCGGTGCTAGTTAGTTACCTGGAAGTACATGAAGTTCATCAGCTTGGTGACCTCCGGCTCCAGCACCTCCACCGTCTTCTCGTAGATCTCCACCCTGTTGGGCTGCTCGTTACACTTCACCTGAAACACCAGTAGAGGCGACGATGAGAAGAGAGCCCCAACCCGCGTCAACCTGTGGACGTCACGCTTCTCACCTGTGGAATGGCCCGAGAGCAGCTCCTCCAGGTGTAGAGCATGACGGCGTACTCCTGACCCTCCTCCAACATCTCATTCTGAGGAGGAGACACAGGACAGGAGGTCACGGACCACCTCATGAAAACATCTGGAACTACTGACTCAAGAACAGGCTGCTACAGACTACACATCAGTACACAGGACAGCGCCCTCTGCTGCTTCAAGCAGTCACTCTCTCTCAGACGTCCTACCATGTTGGAGTGGACGGTGGCTTGTTCGATGTATCTGGCGATGCCTGTGACGAACGCATTTCTGTCTTCAAAGTTGGTGTTGAAGTTCGGCTGCAGGACAACAACACATATGATGTCAGCGATGATGTCACAGGCGATGTGACCAATGACGTCTCAGGTGAACTTCTGGAAGAGCACTAGTAACATCTTGAACTGACCTGGTACATGACAGAGGAGGGCAGGGGTTCGATGCAGGGCTGCTGGTCAGGGAGCGGCAGCTCCTCCAACAGGTCAACATTGGATAGTGCATCCTCTAAAGTCACTGTGGACGTCATGACTTTTCTGCTGCTGCTGACCATCAGAACACACAAGTGTTTTCATTAATAAAACAGGAAGTTACTGGCTGTAGCCTCAAATTTACTTCCTGTTTGCCAGCAGAGAGCAGCAGAGAGCATTGACAGGTTGATAACCTAGTGGTCAGTGATGGCATAATTAACTAGTTGAACATTATTTGGCACTAGCCTTTACCAGACTTAACAAACTTAACTCTGATGTCCCTGAGGCCCCCTGCTGGCCAGTCTGTGAGGACGCGTTCCACTGCTTTTATAGCACATTAATAGAACAACTGATGGAACTGAAGTTAAAAAAAAAGTTTTGTTTTTTTTTAACTTAAAAAAGTCTCTCTCTCTCTCTCTCTCTCTCTCTGTGTCTGTGTGTGTTTCATTTAAAACGGGAAACGGCAGCAGTGTGATGGGGGGG